TTTAGCTTTAACTGTTGACATTTAAAATATCCATATCCTTTGACCAGATGACTGTCATCTGGAATTTCTTGCACAAGTTCCCAAAGAAAAACTTTCTTTCTCTCTCTCTCTCTCTCTCTCTCTCTCTCTCTTACTGTGTGTGTGTGTGTGTGTGTGTGTGTGCGCGTAATACAGTACAGTTGGCGATAACCTGACCATCAATAGCCTAGTGTTAAAATGAATGATGGCTTAGCCATATAATGGAATAACCATTAGAAAAACATGAGACTGTGGAGACACAGGCAATTTGATAGGCTACTAATGGGAGACTTAAATTGGTACACCTTCTTATAGGGTACCCTTCAATATAGGGATCAAAAGTCCTCAATCAGACTATATCCCTTTCCCCCTTGTGTATGCTATATAATGTGGTGGAAAGAAAAATATTATAGAAAAATGTATGTATCAGAACCCAATTAGGTTTTTTTTTTAAGGATATATGTATTTACATATTTATATGTGCCTAGAAGAAGGCTTAGAAGGATGAACACCAAATTATCAACATTGATTATTCCTGGAAAGGAAAGATTTTGACTTTTTAAATCTCCCAATTGAATGTTATGATAGCTGTTATAATAATTTGAATAAAAAAAATTTAAGATATATTAGTTATAATTGCCAAGAACACCCAGAGAAATTGACTAAAAAGAAGCAAGAGTCTTTGTCCCCAAGGATTTCTAAACCAAATGGATCAAGGTTTTCCCCCCCTTGGCTTACATCAAATTTTATTTTTAAAGGCAAGATGCTGGGTTCTACTTGTAGAGCTCAGTAGAATTTTAAAGAACTGAACTGTTACGAACCTCATGTTTCACAATACAGGACCAAAGTAGCTAGTGAGTTCTAAGACATTTATAATCTTTTCAAACTGATATCAGAAATTAAGAGTGACATTTTATTTATTCATTTATTTACGTATTTATTTATTCATTCATTCATTCAGGTAAAATAGTGAGTAGAGTATGTTAACATCCAAGAAAGTAAAATAGCCACTTCTGCAGCAGCTCATTAACGACTGGTAACACATAGAGGTCAGCGTTCTAGAGTTTTTTAAAAAAGTATTGATACAGTTGAAGACCCCTCCACTAGAGATAAGATGGAGCACTGTATCCGTATTACCAATGACAGTCACCCAAGAAATGCAAACAGCCATATCACCCTCTCTCATGGGGTAGATCCGTCATACTTATGAAGACCAACTACATTGTCACTGGAGACTTGGATCCAGCCATCCTCCTGCACGTGGTAGAGGTTAGCAGCACCTCCTGAGTAGGCATCTATGCAGGTGGCTTAATAGATGGCTTGGTAGCTCGCTTCATGGGCCAGATCATAGACCGGCTCCATTTCCAGGTTATAGGAATAGCCCTGATTCATAACCCCATAAGCATACACAGAGCCAGAACCTACAGAGAAGGTGGCCCCCGAGATCTGATTCCCTTCAGTGTCCGTGTAGCAGAGGCCAGGGCCTCTCCTATCCCAGCCACAGATCATGTTGCCCATGGATAGCCCCCTGCCTTTGTACTGGTGCAATATGTTGGCAAGCAGCTGGAAGGCAGCTGCTACAGAGATGCATTCCTTATTTCAAAGCTCATACATTTGACATTGCTGGCCAACAGCCATTCTCAGAAGCTACAATTTGCTGTGCCCCTAGCCATGATGGCTTCAGGTAGGGGTTGATCTGTGCCACCTTCTTTACCATCTGGAGGCAATGTAAGCACCCACTGTGGTCCTATAGTCTGCTGCTACTATGACTCCATGCCAGAACTTGAAGACCAGGGTGGTGATTCCATGAAGCATTTTGATTCCCTGCTCATCTGAGACTCCCCAGCTGAGCATGGCCAGGATCAGCCCATCACTGGGACTCCCTGGACCCAGATCCAGCAGATCTGCATAAACTTTGAGTCCAGAAAACCTGCACTGGTTCACAAGTAGCAGCCTCTCCAACAAGCTGACCAGCACCATGTCTAGTGTGGGCAAAAGAAGGAATAACATTTTAAATTGCATGACTGCAAAAGGGTTTTTGTTGGAGGTTGTTGTATATTTGAAATTGTGGCCAGACTTATAATAATGAGATATGTGCAGTAGTTTTGCAAAGGGAAGTAAGGATGCATGCTCACTCAAATGCTGACCATATGATGCATTGATTATAGAATGTTGTAGAAAGTCTGCTTTTATCACATGTTCTCATGTTTTAATACAATCTAATAACAGAGTGTGCTGCCTCTCTGTGAAATATCTAGAAAACTTCTTTAGCTAAAAGGGTAGGATAGGTAAGTTACCAGGAAAAATTTTTATAAATTAGAATTTTAAAATTCACTGTTAGACAGGAGACAAAGAAGAAATCATTTATTCTTTCTAGTGGATGAATACTGTTCTATAATAGGCCATGAACAAAGTCACCTGAGAGTTTTCCAAGTAAACATTATGGTCTGAAAGATTTTTTTCATTTGTTAAAGAATCGTTCTGGTAAACTATTTGTTTTGGAATTTTTCATCTGGAAAAATAGTTCGAAGCCAATCATGTATTTATTAGACATCGTCCAAGTTGAATATTTGGAACATTGGTGTTTATTCTGTGTTAAACACTTATAAATTTTGCTTTCTTATAATCAAACTCACCCAAAGCCATAGTAATATTTTTATATGAACAAAAGAAATCTCTATTTACAGATTTATTGAAAATAATTATTAGAGGGCAGACATGGTGTCTCACACCTATTATCCCAGCACTTTGGGAAGCCAAGGCAGGAAGATCACGAGACTAGCCTGGGCAACATGGCAAAACCCCGTCTCTACAAAAAATACAAAAATTGGCCGGGCACAGTGGCTCAAGCCTGTAATCCCAGCACTTTGGGAGGCCGAGATGGGCAGATCACGAGGTCAGGAGATCAAGACCATCCTGGCTAACACAGTGAAACCCCGTCTCTACTAAAAACACAAAAAACTAGCCGGGCGAGGTGGCGGGCCCCTGTAGTCCCAGCTACTCCAGAGGCTGAGGCAGGAGAGTGACTTGAACCCGTGAGGCAGAGGTTGCAGTGAGCCGAGATCGCCCCACTATACTCCAGCCTGGGCAATAGAGTGAGGCTCCGTCACAAAAAACAACAACAAACAAACAAAAAAATTATACCTGTTGTACTGGATATGAAGTGTTGTCTCACTGTGATTTTGATTTGGAGTTCTCTGATGGCTAATTTTGTTGAACATCTTTTCGTGTGCATATTGGCCATTCGTGTATCTTCCTTGAAAAAATGTCTGTTCAGATACTTAGTGCATTTTTTAAATTAGGTTGTCTTTTATTATTAAATTGTGAGAGTTTCTTGTATATTCCAGATACAAGTCTTTGTCAGATATAATTTGCAAAAATGTTCTCCCATTTTGTGGGTTGTCTTTTTGCCTTCGTTGGGGTGATCTATCTTTTATTATTGCTTTTGCATCTTACCTATTTGTATCTTTATATTGAAGGTAGTTTTTTTGTAGGCAATATATAGTTGAGTCTTCATTTTTTAATCCAATCTCACAACATACAGCTTGTAGTTTGTGTGTTTAGACCCTTTATCTTTCGTGTCAGTACTGATATGGTTAAAATATACTTTCTTGTTTTTGTCCTCTTTCTGTTTTCATTTAAATTAATTGAGTATTTTTATGATTCTATTTTATCTTTTTTGTTGACTTATTCATTATAAATCTTATTTTAGTGAATACTGTAGGGTTTATACATCTTTAAATTATCCTAGTCTATCTTCAAACAGTAGTATA